TCTTCTGACAGTAATAGTATTATAATACAGTAATATTATTGTATGCATTAGATGTGAGGTTTTCTTCTGACAGTAATGGTGTTGTAATGCAGTACATATTTTTTCCTCTCATTGTTGTAATACAGTAGTAGTATTATATTATACATAGTAGTATATTATACAATAGATGTGAGGTTTTCTTCTTACAGAAATGGACCCCTCACTGTCTTGTTTATAACACCTGAACAGGTGACCTGCAGAGCTGCAGCCAGCTGCTGACCTCTGACCTTAATCTGTGGGTCTGAGGCTCAGCAGCTGCTCACTTCACCTGTTCGCCAGAGTTTGTTCCACATTCAGACACGTGAGACACGATTTGCCTTTTTCCAAACTGGGTTTCTCTCACCTGTCTCACCTGTCTCACCACACAGGTGAGTGACCTCGTGTCCGTCCGCCACTTTGATCCAGGCTGAAATATCTCAACGACTGTTTGATGGATTGTCATGAAACGACAAACATTCATGTGAGGATGAATTTAAATAACTTCCATGTTGATCTCCTGACTTCGGATTATGAGTTGATATTATACAGAATAACTTCTAAAATATTGCTCGTGTGCGATATCGCAAATCATATGAAAAAAACTTTAATATTTCCTACTGTATTGCTCAAAATTAACATCCTCATCTTAAAGGGAAATGTTGACATATATTCATAATATAATATAAATATATATATTAAAAAATGATTGCAGTTATTTGCAAAGTTGTCTCCCTTTCTGCTCATTTACAACGTTTTTGCTAAAAATCAGTTTAGATGAACTTAAAGACTTGACAGTAGTAAAGTGGCTTGGACAGCAGGTAAATAGTCTGAAATGATTGGCTCAGAGTGGTGCATGTGACCCACGTCAGGTGTATAGTTAAGACACCTGTTGTTCGATCCGGTAATGTGGTTTGTCTCCATTCTTGTAAATAATTGCAGGTTAAGCACAGGTGTAATGGATTCATTAATGATGATGCTGTTGTATTTAGTGTCAAGGCCATTCCGGTGAGCCCAGCATGCACAATACAAAGGCACCTGGGCCAAGTAAATGGAACGGGGTCGTAGTTAATGTTATTAGTTGCACCTGTGTTTACCCTGCATATGGCTGCTGGGAAAACAGCCTCTATTTTGGGAAACCTCGCACATTTTTCTGTGTGAATACGGAAATGCTGGCGGTTTCTTAGTATGTAAGAAAATATATATGGTATATACTGTATATCACGTAGATCACACCTCTGCTAACACGCTAAAGATGATGAACATGCTAAACACCAGCATGTGAACATTGTAATTATAGCTTAAAATTAAATAACAATAACACTGTGATCATTTAGAATGGTGACACTCCTCTCCAAAGTCTGTAAAAGTAAAGACCTACTTCTAGTACTACTAGTAAAGTATCCTCAAAACGTGCCAAAAGTAAAAGCACTACGCCATACGTCCCATTTCAGAGTCATTTATATTATATTACAGGAGTATAATTATAGTTTTATCTTTATCAATAATACATCATAGTTTATTTGTCAATTATACTCTTTATTATTGATCTGAATCTGTAGAGTAACTCATGTTATCAAAAAGAAGATGCAGTGGAGTAAAAAGTACAATATTTGCCTTTAGAATATTGTGGAGTAGAAGTACAAAGTAACATAGATTGGATGTACTTAAGTACAAGTACCTCAATAATTGTACTTTTGTATTACTTGAGTAAATGTACTTGTTTTGACTGTTAACCTACTTTATAGAAAGTATGCCTCCACAAGTAGTTTGTACACAGAGCGAGGACTGTGTGTTTTTTTTGTGTGCAGTAATGTCAGTCAGTATATAGTGTTCACATGGACATATGGACACGTGAGACATGTGAGACATTAATCTCCAGCAGGAAGCGCAGACAGACGCCTGCTGCTCTAACGGAAATGAGGTTATCTTCATTATGTAGATTTACTCTGTGCGTGTGTGTGTGTGTGTGTGTGTGTGTGTGTAGTCAGGTCTGCTCTGATAGGACAGATTCCAAACGACAGGTGGAGAGCCCAACTGACCTGGTTACACACACACACACACACACAGAGCAGGTTATCTCCACATGGTTAGTGTGTTTTTACGCCACATGATGAAATATTGAAGAAACAGAGGATGATGAACACTGTGTGTGTGTGCGTGTGCGTGTTCGTGTGTGCGCGTGCGTGTGTGCGCGTGTGCGTGTGTTAAACTTTACTGTCTCTTTCATAACCAACGTGATGAAATCAGAGGCCAAGTGTCTGACTCAACTACGGCCCGCCACGAGAACACACACATGCTGAGAAACACACACACACACACACACACACACACACACACACACACACACACA